TTGACCTGGATGTAATTTAATAGATTTCAGTGTCATCTGTTAGAATGTTTAAGCAACAAGCTTAACACCCAAATCGTGCCTGTACCCCTATAGAACTGTTTGGTGGAGGTGTATTGGGCATGTTTTTTTCTGGAAAAATACCCTGCAGTGGCTAACCGTGGCAGGAAACTACTGAATTAAGATTTCTTTAAAGAAGTAACTTCTGTTTGAGAGATTGGTACTTAGGGGCAATAATGATTCCCCACAGAAGAAAGGTGGTGGAAAAAAGGCACTGCTGACTGTACTGTACACTACAGAAAATTAAAGCCAGCCTTGTGCTCTAAATGGTGCTTATTTACATGTACTGTTCCCCAGGAAATAACAAGACCAGACACCTTTTGGGGGATTTCTGCCCCTTGAGCCAAGCTGCACCTGAAACGATAGATGCTGTCACTTTGGATTACTTGATTAATAGCTTACTATTAATTTTTACAGACTAGATTGTGCACTGAGTCTGAAGTTTGTAGACTAGAAACTACCACAGCTGAAAACCACACTGAAGAACCTGCACCTGAGCAGCAGAAACAGGAGCCAGCTAAAACACAGCAAGAGGTGGGAGAAAACTGTGATCCTAGTAAAAACCTCAAACAAAGGAATTCTGCAATGGAACCGTGTGAAGAGAAGACAAAGAGCAGCTCACGTGACTCACAGGAGGGAGACTGAGGAAGCCTGAGCTCTGCTGTAAGTTTTCTCTAATCTTTAGTTGTCAGAAACTTCTGTTTGTTCTTCTGGAGTTCTCAAAAGTAGAAAAGAACATCAGTATGCTGATGGGACCTTTTTGTTGGTCAGAGTATTGGTATGCACAGCTCTAAGGTGGGGGGTTAAAAACAGAGACTGAGTATAGGTCCTGCTTCTGTAATTTGGAATACATGTATTAAATAAGATAATACAACTTTAAATGGCCAAGAAAACAGGCTTGTGGAGTGTTGCTGATTGTTTGAAATGAAATCTGTGTTAATAAGTTTTGAGGAAAACCAGACAGTGGTGGAAAAGCACTGATATTGTGGTCTAGCAACCGTAAGTCTCATCAGGTTACTGTCACATGATCTGAAGGAAGCTGCTGATATTCATGTAACACACATAAGACAAATCACAGCTCAAATGTCTCAGGACTTTTGTTTTATATTCTTTAAAATGAGTCAGCTCAGTTTTAGGACAATTTAATGATTATCTTCTAGCTGCAGAGAAGTGATGTTGTAGCAGATGTTTATTAGAAGATAAGTACCAAAGATTAGCACAATAAGCTAATGGTAACATATGTTTTTAAGAATATTCTGGCAATTCTCCTTAAAAGCAGGAGCATGAGTGTTGGTTTCAGTAGGATTCAATTTTAGTGCTACAAAAGCTGCAAGAGCACGTTTGTAAAACTTCCAGTAATTGTGACATAGTTTGCATTATCTGGAGTCCATCTGTTTAACTATTCCTAGGATGACATTTTACTCTGAAGCTAAAAGTAACAATAGATATTTGTTGAAGTGTATAATAGTTCAATAAAAAATACCTGAAGTGAACAGTTAGCCACTGTTGGTGTTAAAATCACTGATTTGTAACTGACAATCCCTATACTTGAACTACCCCAGCAAGGGGTCAATCCTTATTGCGAGTAGAAGTAGCTGAGGTGAAGTAAAAAGCAGCATACATAGATTTCCTCTTTGTAGCATTTTAAAGTCAATTACTTAATGCCAAGCACCTCCCACCCCTGTGATTCCCTGACACTTCTTGGGCTGCCGCTGGTGATGAGCCTGTACCACACAAAGGATAGAACAGTACTTGCTTCAGTATATCTTAAAATCCTTCTGATTGTAAAACTGAGCTTAGTAATACAGGAAACAACCACATGTAATCAAAAAAACAGTATGTTTTGAAAAGATTCCTTTTGTATTAAACAATCAAAACTAGAGTTTGATTTAATATTTTTTATTTAATAAAAAATGATTGTTTCTTCCAAACTCTGTTTTTGCAAAGACAGATTTAAGTACTGAAGCTATTTCTCAATTATTTTTTTATCTTTTAAAAAAAGTACAAAAGAAAACGGGACTTCTTTCCAGGGAGGTACAAAGAAAAAGAAATCAAGTGTTCTTTAAAAAGAATAGACAAATTTCGGTCTTACACTGGATTGAGACAGTCGTAGAATCCACACCTCAGCAATGACAGTACCTTGATGGGAAAATCTGTATAATGTTCATAGACTAGAGGCAGTTAAGAGGGACACAGTAATCAGTGTCTCGGACACAGCTAAAAAGCGGCAGCAGCAATGACTGGTCACAAATGTGATACTGCTGCTATTCACCGAAAAAATTTTTAGAAAGGGGGCAAAACTACTACCTGCATCTTCTGTAAGAAGGCATTATGTTTTTCCAGCAAACAAAATGATACCTAAGACACTACTGTACAGTACATGCCTGTTTGTTTCTTCAGCTAGAACTTGGTCCCTTTATAGTTGAGGGTAAATGGACTCTTTGTTCATCCATTCTCTTAGCTTGTGACCGTAAAATCAGGCTGAAAAAATCCTCATCTGGTACAGTTGGTCCTTTTGTAGACGAGGGAGGAGCACATCTTTGATCATCCAGTCTGGAACCCTACAGATAGGCCAAGCAGTAAAGCTACACGTTACAGGAATATATAAAATAAGTGAAAAAGTAAGTGAAAAAATACTAAAAGCTTTTGCTTTCAGATTTAAGGCTATTAGAAAGATTTATTTTGTAACTTTTGTTTCCAGGTTAAACTTTTCAAATGAAATTACCAAGTTAGGAGTGTAAGTGTAGCTAAAGTGGTTCTTCCAAACCATTTGTCTCCATCTGTCTGAAAATAAATCCCCCAGTTTAGTTCTTTGTCATAGTGTAGAATGAGATTTAAGCATCCTTTGCCCTAAAGAATAATTTTAAGTGTAGGTATATGGTATTTCTGGTTTCCTGTAACAGAAAATATGGTTGTCTTCCTTTCCTTCTACAGGAAGTAAAACACAGCAACACTTTTGTCAGTTGCTATGAACTGTTATTTAAACTGAACATAACTGGAATGAGAATCACTATTACCACTAAACTTTGATATTGAATTCTTTGAGAATCCAGGATTCCCAGTGTATCAGGCGCCCTCCTGACAAGCCAGATCTAAACACTTTCTCTTAAAATCATTTTATATATTTGTTTTAATAGTCTCGCTTGTGCTCCTTCACTTTTTCAGCATTTGTTACTGTAAATGATTAACATGGTATCAATACTAAAATTACACTTACTGGACACACAATTAGTAAATCAAAACAAGGGGGAGGAAATGTGAAAACAAAATATCCCACCAAACAAACCCACAACAACAACAAGCAGCAACACAAACAACAACTTAAAAAAATCCTTTTTTAGTCATCTATGTTCTTCCTCTGCCAAATCAATTATTATCATAATATATGTGATAATAAAGGTGCTTATGTGCAGAAACCAAACAGCAGGATGCATAAATCAAATCTCTAAAACCTCATATTCTAAATAATTGTAAAAAAAAATCCTCACCTGACATTTTATCAGTATATCAAAGAACTCATCATCTAGGTCCCTGTTGTTGTTACGCGCCATGAGATGACCCAGGACTGAGTGACTGTTCTGCTGGTTAAGACGAAGTCCAGGTAGATTGCTAAAGCTGGCACGTTGGTCATCGAGCCGGCGGCTCTGCGAGCTGGCGAGTAGGTCTAGAAACTCATCTGTGTGGGGTGAAACTACAGATGTAGAAAAGGCTGTGGGGAAGGAAGAAAACAAGTTAGCCTAGAAATAATTTCCTTTCCATAGTAAGTTTTGTATGCAAATGCTTTTTTAAAATGGTAGGAAGTAGAGTCAGATATGAATTTTACTTTTAAAAATTTACATTTTCGCATTGTTTTAGGTGGAGTAGAGGATGTTGCCACTGAAGCAGCTGAGAACCTGTTCTTCTCCTGAAAGTAGCATCTCTGATCATCCATCCTGTTGCTCTGGAAACGACTCAGCAGATCAAAGAACCCTTCATCTGCCATTGCCTCTCGACTGTTTTTCTGAAGAGAAAAGTAGAGTTAGAGGTATTTTGAACTCAAGTACCTAAAACTGGGACAACTGCATCACAGTTTCAGTCCAGTAATAGGTTTGATGTTTGCATATCTGAAATGCATTAAATGAATTTTTTTAGTCATCCATTCCTGTAGACACATTTATTGTAAGAGAAAACGCTAATTATATGGCAAGCATTTTTGGAAGGTAAAATACATTAGAAACATCTTGTTCTCTGAAACACAAAGAAACAGTACTCTGATCAGCACAGCTGGAGTTATACCCCCTCAAGCCATTAATCCACCTACAACCCTAAACCAGCACTGAGCACTTTCCACTGGCTCCTCAGGTCTGTGGCCAAAAGCAGTCTTCTCATATTAGATCAAATGACTCTGTTCTTTTAGTTTTAACTGACTTCTGTCAAGAGTGCAATAACCCTAAGAATATGCCAAATATACGCTCTGCTGTCTGAATCAGAGAAACTATTTTAAGTTTAGAGAAGCAGGGTCTAGGAGAGACTTAGAAATAAAATGTACCTTCATGCTGAGCTGCAACTTTAGAAAAACCACCAGGAAAGAAAGTGTTCTAATAGTAACAAAGGCTTAAAGCTGGCACCACCTATGAGACAGCTGGAGAGTGGCAGATTGGGCATCCTTTTACAAAGCCAGTGTTTAAACTGAGTACCACTGAAATGGACAGCTGCCAGAATATAGTTTTTGTAATTCTGACCAAACAAAGGTGAGTAAAGGCGATGGTCTTCACAGCTCACCAAACCTACCCTCTGTGAGTTTGGAAGTCGATGATCAATAGAATTACTGGCATCCTGCAAAACTTTTGAAGTGGTGCCGGTTTTGTACTTTTTGCCTTTTAGTCGATTTACAAAATGCAGTTTTGCTGAAGATTTGGCAACCAGTGGTTTCTGTTTAGCAAGAATCTCACTGTTCCAGTTCTGAACCTAAGAAAACAAGAGTCAGGAAATGAAGCCTTCTGATTTTAATTACCTAGACTGTTACCTTCCATCTGCTGCTGCTTTTCCTCCCTGAAATGAAGCAGTTTGACATAATTTAGTTTATCCAAGCACAATGACATGAAAACTTAGGTTTTGTTTTTTATTACTTGACTTGTGACTACTGAGCTTTTGTTACCTGAAGCAGGTTAATATTGTTATTGGTGAGTCTTACAACTGAACTTGAGTGTGATACTCAATGGATTAAAATGTGGTCAAATAATGTAGTTAACCAAACATGCTGAAGTTTTCCTTGCTGACTATGGTGCAGGAAACATAGCTAATGGCAATGCTAAAATGCAGATACAGGTGGCATTTCCCATCTGGCATTCTTGGAATTGGGAAGGAAAAAAAATTACAAATCCATTGTATTACAAAGTGTTAGAGCAACACAAACCCAGATATTCAACCACCCTTCAGTGAGATCCTTGATATGCACAAAATTCCTAGTAAAAATTGAAAAGAAAGAGGGAGGAGAATGCCAGCACAAGAACAGAGGAATAACTATCTTGTTTCACCACAGCAAAAAATAGAGCTTTATTGATCTAACACCTTTTCCCTAAATTCTCTTCTAACATAAACAGAATTATCCACAAAATCAACAGCTTTATCTGCAGGTGACTCTCAGAATGACTGCGTAAAACCCCCTTTTCTTTTCTTGATTCAACATCAGAAATTGTGAACACAGTCACAAATCCTGCAGCAACACTGCCTAACCAAAAGCATTGCTTTCTGAAGGCTTATTTATAATCTGCACATAGATTTCAGCACCAAGCAGATGGCATCCTGTACAACCATACTGCCACTGTCATGCACTGCTCTGTATATTGAAGACTTTTACGGAATTATTTTTCAGAATCTACTCAATGAGTATCTTGAAAAAGGCTCTTTTAGAAGAGCTAAGCTGCAATACTAGGTTAATAACTTTATTTCAAAAATCTGTGTGAAACATTTTAATAGACTTAGGGCACAGACTGTCATAGGCTGTGTACTTTAAAAAAGCTCACAGATAGATAGTAGCCAAAAGCTTAGAGGTCCTGGCCAAGGACTCACCCTGGGCTAAACACACAACCTTTTAAAATTACTACACAAAGAGGCTCGTAAGTATCCTTCCTGACTTCAGCTGTACACTGAATTTCCTATTTGATAAATACGAGGGCAGGCTTTGCATTTCTTTGAAGAGATGGGAATTAAATCCCAGTATGGTGGGAAAAAGCCATTTCAGTCTGCCACTGGAGTCATTTATGGAGAACTGCCAACCTACCACTTGAAGGCAGACAGCATTTGAAGGACATCTCTTGAAGATTGACAAAAGGGTTTTAATCAGGAGCTCCTAGAGATTTCTCTTGAGCTTGGGGAAAAGTTAGTTTACTGATCTGTGACTCCGTTTCATCATTTCTGAAATAGCGTCCTTTCTCAGGATAGACATTGAAACTCCTAATGGTTTGCAAGTTGGTTTAAATCCCAAAGTGAAAAACACATGTATTTTAAGTGCCTATGACTGTACCCAAAGAAAAAATGTTCAGAAGATCTGAGCTAAAGCTTAGGCATTTTATGCTGAATCACCTGCATGCTGCAAGCTCAAGCCACTTTTAAGGAAAAGATGAAAGAGCATGCTTTGATGCACCACTTCAGGACCTCATTGATTCTTTCCTGTGAAGGGAATAAAGCAAGCTTTCCACAAGCCATTCCAACCAACATATGCAAGATGCTGGCTGTTGCCCACATTGCAAAAGTATTGTTAGACCTGCTTTTACTTAACACCTAAAAAGAGCTAAATTAAAAAGGATATGGCAAATGACTTAACATTCTGCTGACTTCTTTCAAAGTTGTTAAGTAAAAAAATTTATGACTACTGATAACTGCTGAGGTCACTGCAATCTCACCAGCAGATCAGAAACAAGGGAAGCGCCAACCTTTTCTGGAGTTAATTTCATAAGTTCCATGTTCTCCATACTGTGACGGCGTCCTACTCTTGGTCTGGTACCTTCGAGAAAGAATCAAGTTCATCTTTGCATCATTAAGATTTATAGTGTCACCTTCAAAGCTGTGGCTGTACTCATCTATGGTGCAGGATACAGCAATTCTGAGTTCCAAAACAATGCAGGTAAATATATCAGCAGAGAATAAATAACCACTAATAAAAGCAGCTTTCAGAACCACACTGCTATAAGCTACTTAAGTTGCTTTCATGGGACACAGGAGAAGGATGATGGGTCTCTGACCAGAATTCATTTCTACTGTAACCCCTGAAAAAGGGTTTTCCTGGAAAAGGAGGAGCTGAAGGGGTCCAATAATGCAGAAACAACTTATTTTTCTTTTTGGCGGGGGGGGAGGGGGGAGAGAGGGGAGTAGGGGAACAAACCCACAGCCTGCTCAACTCAACCCTCTGTAATCAGAAAACAACAGATTCTTTAAGTTCACTGTTAGCAAGTACTGCAGAAATAGGCATGTATTTACCATTCAGACTGGTATCTACTGCATGGCTTTCTGCCATCATGGAGTTGTTTGTGCTGTAGCTTAATCCAAGAACCATTTGAAGATCTGAGAGATTAAGTCTCGCAGTGAGTTCTCCACTTTTATCTCCTACCTGAAAACAAAAAAAATAAGTAGTTCTATTATTGTAATAAAGTATACACATATGTAAATAGAAAGCTAACCTTGTCCCCTAGAGTTCTGAGAGAAAAAGGCTGAAAAAGTTTTCCTGGTTGAAAAACCTGAGTCATCCTTTTAATGAAAAAAATGACAACTAAAAGGTACATAAAGCCTAGAACACCTCTGCTAGGCTGTTATCTTGGATTCCATCATGATGCTGTCAAATGTGGCACTAGAACTAAGGGAGATAGGGCTGAAATAATTTGGAATCAAATATCTCAGAAATCAGTCAAAATCCAGTTCATTATTCAAAGTCACATGCATGGATCATCTCCAAAAAAATCACTTTGTGAGAGCAAAACTACCAACTTACAGGCAACATGAAACTCATACCTCTCGTGAGATTTCCAAGTGCCTTTCTGCAAAATGCATAGCTTGGTCGTGATTTCCCAGCGCAGTGTAAGCATTCCCTAAACTCCAGCATGCTCTTCCTTCACCAATTCTGCAGAAAAAATTAAAACTTTCAATTATACCATTCCTTGCTGAACACTAGGGGTCGGGTTTCCATAATATTGCCAAAATAAGATTGCTGTGCCAAAAATTAAGGCTATCGTCTTCGAACACCAAGAAGTTTTTGTGTTTAAAGGAATGTGATCTAGGTATAACCATAAATATGAGCAAATCTAATAACAATACTAATTTTTAAGCTCACAGGAAATATAATTAATTCAATTCTGCAAGCATGAAACGTTTTACAACCTACTTTGCTTTTCCTCAGATTGCATGCCTTATTATTCTTCACATACTGTTTATTGAGTTAGAAGTACATTTAAATGTTGTAAAAAATTTTACGTGCACCCAACATCACAAAAAAGGCATTATAAATTATGATTATAAAATAAGCACTAGTTGCAACTGTATTATTCTCCTTTCCTCATCCCTTCCCATATTTTTAATCTGTGGAAAAGCAGGAGGTGTATTCTTGTGAAGGTATGCAAAACTATTACAATGAAGTCATGAAAAAGAGAGCTGCTTTTCTTCTCCTTAATTTACAAAAGAAGATGATGTGGAGTCAGTCATTCATTGCTTCCGTCTTTCACCTCAGACTCATTAGCTGCAATACCTCCACGAGTAAATATTTTTTTTCCACATGAAAACTGGAGCCCAGCATAGCAGGGAAAACACATTACTTCAGCTGTCTTAAAAGAACAGTGACAGCAGAGGTAAGAGCTAACAGGATTTGGTATGTCACGTACACATTAAACAATCTCTTAGAGCTTACTTGTCATTTAATTCCTGAGCAATCACAAGGTGTTTCAAATGATAATCAATTGCTTTTTCATAGTCTTGAAGCAAAGTGTATGTGTTCCCAAGGCTGTAGCAGGCCTGTGCTTCCACAGCTCTGTCTTTAAGCTGTCGAGCCAGCTGGAGCGTCCTCCTGAAAGAAGGGGTTAGTCACCTCAAAAATCACTGCAAGAAGTTTATAGAAGTACACTTGTGCAACTAAAAAAAGTTATTTATACAAATTAGGACACCATGCTAGCAAATGGGCTGCTATTCAATCACTATCATGTACACTCTTACAAGATTTTGTCTTCCACTCCCCTCCACAGCAACCTATTTCCATTTACTTTATTAGAACAGACTGAACCCTTAAACAGCATCTTCAAATTTTAATTTATTGCTTCATCAATAATTTATAGCACTTTCCTGACAGTTATGCACTTGAAACAGCTTGGTATATTGTTTATTCTCCATCAAAATGAGCAAGACAGACCTATAACTGCCGATCCAGACTGCCACTGCTGGGCAAGAAAAACGTGAGTACTAAGAGGAATCTTCTCAGTACTGAAGCTTTTTCCCCTTTCAGAAAGGACAAGTAGGCTCTGAAATTCATGTAAGACTTAGCCTGTCTCTTCATCAAGCTTGTATTTTCCCAAGTTACAGTAGCTACTGCTTAGTGGTACAGAGATCAAGAAAAGAAGTCTTGATTGAGAATACAGACTAGGTATGTAAAATCATTCTGATATGCACCACCTATCATCCTGACAGCTCCCCATCTCAGGTGTACTGAAGTTATTTCAGAACTTGCTAAGAGCGAAGACATTAATGCTTTGATTCTAGAATAAAGGGAATAAATGCCTATCAACAGAAAGGTTTCTTATCTACAATGCTGAAAAGAATCTACTTAAAGTAACATAAAAAGTGAAAAAAAAATTAGTGCTGCCCCTCCCTTAAAATTAAACAACTACAGAAAAACATGATCTTTTGCTAAAATCATATTCAGTTCTCCTCTAAAGATATGCTGAAGAAAAGGCTACTCTACAGTGAACTAAAGTACCACACACAACAGAAGCAAACTGTACAGGAAGAGGTATAAATTCTAAGCAGTCAACTGACTTGTAGTATTCTGAAGCGGTTTCAAATTCACCCAGGAAGATGTAGGCGTTTCCAAGATTGCTGTATGCTCTTCTTTCCGCTGATCTATCGCCAAACTCTTTTGCAATTAGGAGACGCTTAAAAAACAAACATAGAATAATTGTGTTATTTGCTCTATTTTGTCTTTTCTTACACATTTGAATACAGAAATGCACACTCATAGTTTTTCTCCCATGCCTCTATATTGTTCTCCAGGCCACAGTGCTTCAAAAGAACAGCCAATCATCTTGAAGTTGTGCCATGAAGATTTAACACTTGCATTGGAAAACTTGCAGCAAGATCCAACCCAAGACATGTCCTAGAACAGAATTCCTTACTAGCACATTGCTGTACCTGTTCATGGGCTAAAACCGCGCTCCTGAAGTTGCCCAGAAGATAGTGTGTGTTTCCCAGGTTTCCAAAGGCACGTCCTTGTGCTGCTCTATCACCCAGCTCTGTTACTATTGACAGATTTTCCCTGTTTCAGGGGAAGGGAGAAGGGGAAGAATAGTGACTTTTAAACAGGGTTTTTTTAACCCTCGCAGTAATTTAAATATTTATTTTTGTTTTAATCTTTCCATCTATAAAAGGAAAAGTTCTATTTAATCTGATCTGTTTTCTACTTTGGCTTATTTTAATGGCCTTTATGCAACCATAAATCTTCCACTGAGCATGAAACATTTCCTGTGAGATCCTGAACTTAACTGCACCTTTTCTCAAGATGGTTTGCTCGCTTCTAATCGCAGAGCTACGGTAGATACAAATACACCAAGGTCCTATCACTGACTCAGTCTGGTTTGAAGAATACTGCTGGATTCTAACATAAGGGAAGGACTTACCAGGTAGTAAGAGGTACAATAAAAGGAAGGGCATAAGAAAAAAATAGTGCACTCCCCAGTTTAAAAGGGAAAAAATTCACAGGTACCACTGTTCTGAATGGAAGCATGCCACAGTCAGTTCATGATTTCACAACTCTGCCAGTACTCTAATGAAGTAGATTATCACATCCTCTCATTCCCCAACATTTAAAGCTACTACTTACTCATAATAAGTTGCAGCTTTTTGTAAAGCATTTTTCACATCATCTGGAAGTTCCCCTGGGTCATGAGTCCCAACACTGGCTACATTTTTCCCTTTAGAGTGATATACGTTTCCCAGATTATACAGTGCTCTTGCTTCTCCAACCTAAACCAAAAGGCAGCATTACAATTTTATGCTTCAGAGTCTTCCATCACAACTAACAGTACCACCCACAGATAGGAAAAGAAGTTTGTTAACCAGTTGTCAAAATATGCTCTGTCCATTCTTAACTTATTCTTGACATCCACCTTCTCCCACTCAGTTACATCACTTCCTTTTGAGATGCCATACACATACTAATTCTTGAGGCCAATTATAATTAAAAATTAAATAAATCAATTAAAACAAACAAAACAAAAACAAAAAAAACCACCAATCCAAAACAAAAACCCACCACCACAAAATGGGATAGTATTTGTTATCCTGGATCTATAATCTTCCAGGTGCAAACAACTATCTTGCAATCTAACAGATTCTTACTGTCTTGAAGAAATAATGCAGTATTTATTCAATATGCAGTATTTACTTCCCTCTGAAAGGTGGCACACATCACCAGTACAACAGGGTTCACTAGCATATGTTAGCAGTTTACTTCCTGGTGCCTGAGCAATTCTTACCTTATCGTTTAGCTCTCTGGAAATATCCAGATGTCTCTGACAACAAACAATAGCTTCTTCAAAATTCCCAAGTACCTTTAAGGTGTTGCCCAGATTCCCACTAGCTTTAGCTTCACCCAGTAGATCTCCAATTGTTCTAGAATTGCACAAATAAAGCACCCAGTGAATGAGTGTACAATTTGAAACCAAGATAATCAATGTATAGTAGACAATTAGAAGAAAAAAAATATTAAAACCATGCAAGTGTGTATGTATTCAATTTTATATCTAAACTGCACTCACATAAACTTTGTTCAGTCTTTGTTCAGACATTTCATTTTGTTGGTGCTGTCTGTGCAACAGCTAGTTCACGGCATTCAATTAGATTCATCTACAGAACATTAATTTCTTTTAGGAAGGGAATAAAGAGAATTTTTTAATGGTTATGTAAAAGGCAGTCCAAGAATTAGAAT